TTTTTTTGTTGAAACAGATACCTCAGTGGACAATGAGGAAGATTTTTTTCATATGCATAATAAGAAAATTGGTATTCATGAAAACCCTACGCAGATATCGATGAAGGTGGAAAATATGTGGACTACGTTCGAAGTCGATACCGGTTTTGCATTTTCTACTATATCTGAGGAATTATATAAAAAAAATGCGAGTATAAAATTACATGCCACTGACCTTCAACTAAGAGATTATGTAGGGTATTCATTTTCGCCAGTGAGGAAACTTTATTTGAATTTTCAATTCTATGATAAAGTAGAAATATTAGAAACATATGTGATTGAAAGGGGTGGCCCTCCATTACTAGGTAGAAACGGTTTTGAAAAATTGAATCTGGGAATTGTCCCTTTGAATTCGATTGGTTGTGATGGCAAACTGACAACCCTTTGCGAAAAATATTCAGAAATTTTCAATAATGATTTAGGTTTATTAAAAAACTTCACTTTTGAGTCTTGTAGTGAGGCAAAATGCGTCACCAAAATGTTTTAAACATATGCAATGAAAAGTAAAGTGGAACGTGAGATTGATAGATTGGTAGATCAGTATATTTTGTGATATTGACTTATTTATTTTGTGGAAATTCATCTTCAATTAAATGATATAGATATAGAAATAAAATAATTTGTCTAAGTGGAAATTAAGTATTTTATTTCTATATCTATATCAGATCAGGGTATATTAAAACCAGTAGAATATTCAGAAAGAGCAACCCCCATTGTATCAATACTAAACTCTAATGGAACCATAAGGATATGTGGTGATTTTAAAATTACTGTTAACCCTATGTTGGAGGCAGTAACTTATTTTCTACCTAAAATAAATGATTTGTTTGCCCAGTTGGAAGGTGGTGATACATTTTCAAAGATTTATTCGAGCCAAGCATATCAGCAAATTGCAGTTACGGCGGACACTACAAAATTATTGACTATATCAACGCATAAGGGGTTGTTTGGCTATGCACGCCTCCCTTACGGGCGAAGTATCTAAGTATTCATGAATATTCCTGGTGTAGTAGTATTTATTGACGACATTTTAATATCGGGAGCAAATGATACTGATCATTGAGAAACTTAGAATTAGTGTTCAAAAATATAAAAGATAATGTTGCAGGGTACAAATAGAAAAATCGAGTATTTGGTCCATGTCATTGATAAACGTGCTCTGCACAAATCAGAAAAAAATGTTGAGGCTATCAAACGTGCTCCAACACCCGAAAATATAATAGAAATGAATTATTTTTTGGGGATGGTCACATTTTATATAAAATTCATATCTAATGTAGCACGAATTCTACAACCACTTTATAAATTATAAAAAAAACGACACTCCTTTGGAAACAAGATTGTCAAAATGCATTTGAACAAATAAAAGAGGAAATTATTTCAGATAGAGTTTTGGTCCCCTACAACCCCGAAAGAAATTTAAAACTCACCGTGGATGCAAGTTCTTATGGCTAGCAGCGGTAATAAGTCATCCAAATAAAAAAAAATAAACCAGACAGCCCTATAGTGTTCGCATCTTGAGTATTAACTGACGCAGAAAAGGGATACAGTCAGCTAGATAAGGAAGCCCTGGCTATCAAATAGGGGGTGTCAAAATTCCACGAATATCTATAGGGCCGCCATTTCATTTTAGTAACCGATAATAAGCCTTTTTGGATCAAGAAAAGGAATTCCATTCATTGCAGCAAATAGACTGCAAAGATGGGCTCATTTTTGGCTAGCATATGATTTCGATATCTAATACGTAAAATCAGAAAATAATATAGCGGATGGGTTGTCAAGGTTGCCATTACAATGTTTCCAACCAAATTTTCAGACTGATATTTCATATCTCCACTATGTACAACAATTCTTACCTTTAACATATAGAGAAATTAGATTGGCCAGTGGTAGGGATACAATATTGTCTAAAATAATGTATTATGTGGGACAGGGTTGGCCAAATTCGAAATTACCTATTGAGTTATTACCATTTATTAGGCTTATAAACGAACTTTATGTAGAGCAGGTTTGCCTCATGTGGGGATATAAAGTGGTAATTCCGCAGAAATTTCGAAATATGATTTTGTCAGAATTGCATAATTCACACATGGGAAAAGTGAAAATTAAATCTCTTGCCCGATCATGTGTAAGATGGCCTTCAATTGATGAGAATATCGAGAAGTTAGTGGAGGACTGCAACATTTGTAAAAAATTCAGTAGAAATCCAGCAAAAAGTAATCTAAAACCATGGGAATATACTAAAGAATGTTGGTCTAGGTTACATATCGACTTTTTTTTCCATTATATAATAACTATTTTTTTTGTCTTGATAGATTCAACATCGAAATGGATTGAATATCATAAAATGAAAAACATTACTTCTTCAACCACAATTGATAGATTGATAGTTTTTTCATTATTTGAAATTGAATGGAATAAAACACACAACAACTGCTGCTTATCACCCTCAGAGCAATGGGGCTGCTGAGAATGCAGTTAAGTTGATGAAAAATGCCATCATCAGTATGAAATCCGAAAATCCAGAAGCGTTCTTAACTTTCATTATCAATCGCTTTTTATTCACATATAGAAATACCGAACATACAACCACTGGAGAATGTCCAGCAAAAATGTTATTAGGGAGAAAATTAAGATCACGATTAGATATATTGTTTCCTGGGAGTCATGACATAGTCGAAGAAAAACAGCAGAGTCAAGTCAAAAATTTCAAGGGACATAGAAATGTGAGTTTTANTATAAAAAATCCCGATTTTCGATTAAGAAAAAATATCGTAGTATGCCCTGAAACTTTAATAAACATTTCAAATGTTGTCCCAA